GCCCTTCAGAAGCATTCTGGCTGGGTGAGTCTAAATGCACTGACTCTTTATCGAAGGCTATCTAAGCCAGGGTGACACAAAAAGGATGAGGCTGGACACAATTTGGTACTTCGAGCAATTGCTTTAACGCAGGTGAGTTAAAAGGGGGGGGATTCCTCAAAACCCTTCTGCAGATCTTCTGCGTTCAGGCAGCAGCACACTTGGGCTGTCCATAGCGTTGCTAATGACAAGTGTCAAGAGCAGGTCTTAAGAGACAACGTCCCTCAGAGGGCAAACAAATTGGTTGCTCCTTTGACATCTCATCAGCGTCCAATGCCGTAGCCAGAGTACCCTACGCATATGTACAAACATCAGCCCCATGTGAAACAAATTTAGAGGCTTTTAACAACCGTAACCACTAAAATCACAAGATTCCAGACATATGCTCCAACCACTCTACAAAATGGGGGCCTACCCAAGTGGTGGTAGGTCCTCTTTAAAGGTATTCTACCCATTCTGACAGATCAAAATTACCACCAAACACAGGACCAACCCAGTTAATTCAAACTGGAATCTAAGGAGGGAATTCCACTTTGTCAGTGAAGTCCTTAAAAGGTGAGAACATCTTTTGGTGGTCACTATCAACATGGATCACAGACCCCAAATTTTTAAATCCTCTCTCAAAGTTGTTATGGCACACTCAGATGGGGCCCAGGACCATAAAACCACACAAGAGGAATGATTAAAAAAGTAGTTGCAGCAGAAAGATCTTTGCAGTTGCAGGAGTTCCAAAAGTCTAGAACAGCAGGCTGAAGACAGAGCAAAAAATTCCAAAAAGAAGCATAGCAAAAAAATATATACTTAAAGGCACTGAAAAAAAAAAAAAAAAGTAGCACGCTGAGTAGAGGAGCAGTGATACAGAGGCAAGCTTACAACTTATTTTCCAATGTCCCAATCTCCAGCTGAACTCGAGGCAGTTTAACTTGAATGTTGCTGAATTCCTTTGTCCCTCAATGGGCGATGGATAAAAAGTATTGTTTAAAAAAAACGTATAGTCAGGCACAAAGCCAATAATACTGAAAAAATATATTTAGGGTTTTCATACACGTTAGGATTCAGTCTAGCCCTTCCAGCATGACTAAAAAATAAACAGGTTATCAAAATTCCTTGCCCAGACTACAAAGAATTTTTTTTTGCGCTGGATAAAAAAAAAAAAGGGCTAGGCTTACCTGCATATTATAATATTATAGCCTTAATCTCCAGTACAATAGGGAGAGCTAAAAATGTCAAATTCTTGAGCTCTTTCGAACGCTTATGTCGTGATGATCCGAACTCAAGGGGTTTGATCTCTCTTCTCTACTACACTCTGATGTCTTCACCTCAACCCCCACAGCCCTCTTACCTTTCCAAATGGAAGACCTGGGTATCGCACTGGGAGATGAAACGTGGTCTAAGATATGGTTATCTACTAAATCGGGTTCGAGGAGTGCAAGTGCGTTGGAGATCAACTATAAAGTGCTAATGAGATGGTACATGGTCCCTGTTCGGATAGCCGCGTTTGCCCCTTCGTATTCACCTCACTGTTTTAGGGGGTTGTCCCGATTTAGGCTCCCAAGTACATATTTGTCCGGTCGTCTCACGCTTTTGGGATCAGGTGTTCTGTACACTCTCGGTCCTAGTAGGTACAACCATAATTAAAGACCCAGCTATGGCTCTCCTATAATTGGCAAACCTGATTCGCTTCCCAGTAAAAGCTTCAAACTATGTTTGCACGTACCGGCAGCTGCCAGAAGAGAAAATAGCCAAGTCATGGAAATCACCCTCTCTAACCATAACTAAAGTAAAGAACCATGTCTGCTGGGTCATGGTACAAGAAAAACGTACAGCCAAACTCACAAATACTATCCCTAAATTTGAACCGATTTGGTCTCCCTGGGCCCAGCACTACCTACCCCCCGATTTGATCTACGTCTGCCATCCATTTGACCATTTCCTGTGCTCAGTCCACTTGACCCCCGGACTCTCCTCTTTACTTCTCTTTGTATCTTTACCCCTTTCTCCCTTATTTCATTTCTTTTTCTCCTCTCTTTTTTCTCGGTTTAGGATTTTTTTCTAATTGCTTTTTATTCTATCATTGGACACTTTGGTTCCCTAGGGAACTCAATTACATTTATATTGTTTGGTTACAATACGAGACTAGCCTAATACTACATTGTTATAGTGTGCCATTTCTTTTGATTTATGTTGTCTGTACTAACATGCGACTCCATCAGTTGTACATTATGTCCATGACATTATTTTTTGTACTCATTTAACTTTTCCAATAAAAACATTTGGATGGCTTTCTAGAAAGAAGGTATCCAATTTCTCAGCGAGGTTAATGAAAAATATATTCCATCCTTCAGTGAGTTGTACCACATTATCCAAGGTCTTCCACTTCCTTGGGTCATTAGCTATAAGATAAAAGGGGCCACTCAAGCTGTTTGAAAATACCTGTTACTAGGCACCATTAAGTGGAAATATCATAATAAAAGAGTTTTGTATTATATAGGAGGTTCATTAAAACCACAGTATAGTTTTCTATGTCCTCTTGCGAGAAGAGCAAAGAGACCTGGGGATCAACTTACATTTAGACAGTTGGTATCAACTCTGTACAACCCTCAAATAAGGAGCCATCAAGTAACTCCAATGACACCATTCCTACGTTTCTTACATAGGATCTATATGGTCCCAATGAAAAAGCAAAAAAATGTCATCCCTTATTCCCTTTAGTATGTTTCAAAGATATACAAAAAGTGTCCCTTAGCACCACATTTGCTTGCATTCTCGTCAAAAGATTGCAATTTACACCTTTTCAGAAGTCACCTTTGGTCGTTCATCTAAGGAACACACAAGCTCATTTGATACAATATGCAGCTATAATAACAATGCCAGATTGAGATTTGTATTTGTCTGTGGCCCTATTGTTATTACATTTTAAAAGTTGCAATTGTTTATGGTATTAGCTCTGATACTTTGCGTTTACTTTTATTTTGTATAAGATTGCATTATTTGCACAACATTAAATGGCTAGTGCATTTTTTAGTTGACTGAATTTACATAGCAGCTGAAATTAAAAGGAGAACTAGGAGGTGAGTGATTTTCACTCAACCTCATAGTTCGAGCCGCCGTGTGACAATGAAAACGGTCACACGTGGGCTCAATAGATCAGGAAGTGAGCGAACACAAACTGTCGCTCGCCCACGTCTCGATCATGTCCCTGCAGAGAGCCGTGACTGTCACTCCTAGGCTCCCTGCAGGGATTTCCCCCCTTCCCCTGTCCGATCCTCCAGCGCTGACTGGCGGAACGGACGGGGGTGGTACAGCTGGCTATGCCTCTAGATAGGCAGAGCCAGCTGCCAATCTCAACAGTATCTCAACTGGGTGTATCTCAACAGTAATGTTGGGATCCATCCCGGGTGCGGCGGTCTCAGTATACCGTGAGCTGTAGCTCGCGATATACTGAGCTTTGGGTCATGAGAGGACACTAGTTTGTCCTCCCGTGAGCCTTAGGAGAACTATGGGGAAAAAAACACTTACCTCATAGTTCTCCTTTAAGCAAAGCAGGCAAGTGATCACCAGAGACCCAAGGTTTTTTATTGTGATACAAGCAAGAAATAAGACAAAAAAACAGAAAACTTGAGCGTGCATAACTATTCACCCTCCATAAGTCAATACTTAGTAGAGTCATCTTTTGCAGTAATTATAGCTGCATGTCTCTTGGGGTATGTCTCTATAAGCGGGGCACATCTAGCCACTGGGTTTTTTGCCCATTTTTTAAAAGGCAAAACTGTTTCAGCTCCTTCAAGTTGGATGGGTTACTCTGGTGTACAGCAATCTTTAAGTCATGCTACAGATTCTCACTTGGATGGAGGTCTTGGCTTTGACTAGGCCATTCCAAGACATTTAAATGTTTCCCCTTAAACCACTCGAGTGTAGCTTTACGGAATTGTGGAATTTCCCTGAATTTAGCGCCATTCATAATTCCTTCAATTCTGACTAGTTTGCCAGTCCCTGCCGATGAAAAACATCCCCACAGCATGATGTTGCTCCACCATGCTTCACTGTGGGGATGGTGTTCTTGGAGTGATGAGTGGTCTTTGGTTTGCACCAGACATAGCATTTTCCTTGAAGGACAAAAAGCTTAGTTTTAGTTTCATCTGACCAGAGTACCTTCTTCCATATGTTTGGTCAGTCTCCCACATGCCTTTTGGTGAACAGCAAACGTGTTTGCTTTTTTTTAATCTAAGCAATGGCTTTTTTTCTGGCCCCTCTTCCATGAAGGCCAGCTCTGTGGAGTGTATGGCTTAAAGTGGTTCTATGGACAGATATTCCAATGTCTGCTGTGGAGCTTTGCAGCTCCCTCAGGGTTATCTTTGTTGCCTCTCTGATGAATGTCCTCCTTGCCTGGTCAGTGAGTTTTGGTTGGCAGCCCTCTCTTGGCAGGTTTGTTGTGGTGCCTGACCTGTTTGGAGAGCTTATTGTTGCCGTTTACTTGGTGGTGCCCATTGCTCAGTGGTGTTGCAGACTCTGGGGCCTTTCAGAACAGATGCATATATATACTGAGATCACGTGACACTTAGATTGCACACAGGTGGTCTTTATATAACTATATATGTGACTTCTGGAGGTAATTAATTACATATGCACGCCCCACATTTGCATTTTTTATTTGTTATAATTTTTTTAAAACAAGTTATTTTCTTAAAATTTCACTTCACCATTTTTGTCTATTTTGTGTATGTCCATTACATGTAATCCAAATAAAAATTCATTTTAATTCTAGGTGGTAATGCAACAAAATGGGAAAAATTACAAGGGGGGTTGAATACTTTTGCAAGCCAATGTAGCTTTCAAAATATATACTACAATTATAAGTCTGATCTACATTAGATGTCAATACCCAAGTATCTGATTGTCCTATAACCACTGCCACAACGATATGCCTCAATACTTATTCAGACATTATTGTAACTTCTTACCTACTCTTTGACTTTGAGAAGGAACCCTGGGCACCTGCGTGGAAGCCTGTTTCATTGTACTGATGTTGGAGGCAATACGTCTGGGGGGAACGGCTCGCAGTATTGGTGTAGATGGATGGTACTCTGCAATCACACAGGTTACAAAATATGAATACGTAAAAATCAGTCAGTTTACCTGCCCTCAGGTTTTGTAAATAAACTGCTCAAAAAAATTAAAGGAACACTTTGAAAAAACATCAGATCTTATTTGGGAAAAATATCATGCTGGATATCTACTGTATACTGGACTTGGTAATGTGTTAGGAACGAAAGGATGCCACATCGTTTGTATGGAAATGAAAAATTATCAACCTACAGAGGGCTGAATTCAAAGACACCCCAAAAATCAATCAAAGTGAACAAATGATGCAGCAGGCTAGTCCACTGTGCTGAAATTTCATTGCAGCTAAAATGGTACTCAGTTTGTATGGCCCACCCGTGCTTGTATGGATGCCGGACGTCGGGGCATGCTCCTAATGAGAAGACGGATGGTGTCCTAGGGTATCTCCTCCGAGCTCTGGACCAGGGCATCACTGAGCTCCTGAACAGACTGAGCTGCAACCAGGCGGCGTCGGATGGAACGAGACAATGTCCCAGAGGTGTTCTATTGGATTTAGGTCAGGCGAGCATGGGGGCCATTCAATGGTATCAATTTCTTCATCCTCAAGGAACTGGCTGGATACTCTCGCCACATGAGGCCGGGCATTGCCGTGCACCAGGAGGTACCCAGGACCCCCTGCACCCTCGTAGGGTCTGACAATGGGTCCAAGGATTTCATCTCGATACCTAATGGCGGTCAGGGTGCCATTGTGTAGCCTGTAGAGGTCAGTGTATCCCTCCATGGATATGCCTCCCCAGACCATCACTGACCTACCACCAAACCGGTTATGCTGAGCGATGTTACAGGCAGCATAACGTTTTCCACGGCTTCTCCAGACCCTTTCCCGACGGTTACATGTGCTCAGGGTGATCCTGCTCTCATCTGTGAAAAGCACAGGGTGCCAATGGCGGACTTGCCAGTTCTGGTGTTCAATGGCAAATCTCAATCGACCTCCATGGTGCCGGGCAGTGAGCACAGGGCCCACTAGGGGACGTCGGGTCCATAGGCCATCCTCATGAAGTCTGTTTCTGATTGTTTGGTCAGAGACATTCACACCAGTGGCCTGCTGGAGGTCATTTTGTAGGGCTCTGGCAGTGCTCATCCTGTTCCCCCTTGCACAAAGGAGCAGATACCGGTCCTGCTGATGGGTTAAGGACCTTCTACAGCCCTATCGAGCTCTCCTAGAGTAACTGCCTGTGTTGTGGAATCTCCTCCATGCTCTTGAGACTGTGCTGGGAGACACGGCAAACCTTCTGGCAATGGCACGTATTGATGTGCCATCCTGGAGGAGTTGGCATGCCTGTGCAACCTCTATAGGGTCCAGGTATCGCCTCGTGTTACCAGTAGTGACACTGACTCTAGCCAAATACAACACTAGTCAAAAACTGTCAGAAAAAATTAGTAGGGGAAAAAATGTCAGTGGCCTCCACCTGTAAAACCATTCCTGGTGGTCGTCTCATTGTTGCCCATCTAGTGCACCTATTGTTAATTTCATGAACACCAAAGCAGCTGAAACTGATTAACAACCCCCTTTGCTACTTAACTGACCTGATCAATATCCCAGGAGTTTAAATGACTGGATGCTATACTCTGATTAAAAAGTGTTCCTTTAATTTTTTTGAGGAGTGTACTTTGAAATAGGATGTTGACTTAACAAAAAATCCCTTCCTTGGAATTCATTAGGAAACCCAGCGTCAGAAATTTTGAGACATCTGGGTTATACTGGTGCCAATATGAAAAATGGGCACTGGCAAACAAAAAGATGTTAGACAGTCAGGTATAACCCCTCCCACTGCCATCATGCTTCAGTTTTGTGGAAAAGCAAAAGTAACAGTTGATCTTAAGACAGAGGGGTAGGACCTGTGTGCCTTAACAAACACCAAGAAAATAATTTTACATCAAGTCAAAAATCCTTTTTTTTTTTTAGGGGTATCAAGAGGAAAAACCAGTAGTGTTGTGTACCCACAGAAAAACAAAGGTAGTGATGATTCACTTAAAAGATGGGGATATGTAAATAAAAATGCTTGATGTCGACAGAGCCCAGAAAATCTCCTGAATAGAGGGAAGCAATGACTGACCTGGTGGATTCCATGCAGAATTTTTACACTAAAATTAAAATGGAGTGATTTTAAATGCAGAATGGAGCATATGTTTGAGTAAAAACTAGGGATGCAACGAAATTTTGGCCGCTGAAACATATTGGCCGAAAATTGCACTTTTGGCAAAATGCCGAAAGTACCATCTTTCGGCCAAAACTGGGGTGCATGCCTGGTTTCTCTCCTCCACGCTAGGTGCTGCTCTGTGTCCTCTGACACAGTGCAGCATCCAGCAGGGAGGAGAGAAACTGTCAGAGGAGGCTCGAGCGGTGCAGGGGAGGAGAACCCTGAGTGGTCAGCGTGTCACAGGAGGCATGGCTTTCCTCCAGCACCGCCTTGCTCAAATCAGGATGCAGAGCGGTGTGGAGGCGGAGACGGCCGTCAGCGCTGTCACAGGAGGCTGAACTCTCCTCCCACACCGCCCTGCTCAGCCTCCTGTGACATATCAAGATGGAGAGCGGCGGTGTGGGGGGAAGAGGCAGCTGTCAGCAGTCACAGAAGGCGGAGCCGGCGGTGTGGGGGAGGAATCAGCTGTCAAAATAGACCGAGCTCTCAACAGACTAATGCTCGAAAGTCACATCACAGGCATGCCTTCATCAGAGCAAAGACCGGGAAAGGCCTCCAAGGCATTACAAAGGATCAGTTAACGAAAAATCTTAAAAGAAAGGAAAAAATCTTGAAAAAAAGATCTTGATAAAAATGAAACAAATGTCACGTGATAAGTATTTTCTTTCCTCTGAGGAGAAAAGGCATCCATTCTCTTAGGACACTAGCAAAAACCTGAATCATTATGGGAGTAGCAAGGGTTATACAGCTTTTTTTTGCTAGTGTCCAATTCTCCTGTACGTCCACTTCTGACTGTGTCTCTGAGGGCCTGTTCACATGAGATCAGGTCCTGATCAGCAGACGTGGAGCTGCTGATGCATTGCGTTTTTGGCTGTGTTTTGGCCGCCTTTTGGATGCGTTCCAGCAAAAAAAAAATATATATATATATTTTATTTTTTTTGCTGGAGTGGGGCTGTTAGTATGTTAGCTGCAGCGCAGTGCGTGTTTGACGCGTTTGTGACGCGTTTGCGTATCCGTTCCGTTTCCGGACCTGACAAAATGTGACATGCAGTATTTTTTCTGTCGTAAGCTGAACGGACTGCGCACGTGAGAACTGGAGCCCATAAAACACATAGGGATACATTGGGATGCATTTTGAGTGCAGAAGCGTACGGAGCCGGTCAGCACACAAAACGGACGTCGTGTGAACAGGCCCTAAATGAACGATAAAGAAATGTAATTTCCAAACTGCTACATCTGCATCAGCAGATGCAGGGGGCCTGGAGTTGTCCTGTTAACCCACTGTATTTCTTAAAGGAAACATCTGTCAAGGTAATATGTAGGCTGCCATGCTGACCTACCCTGAAAATGCTTGTTGCCTAGCAGTCAAGCCGATTTAATAATTTCTGTACTTTAAGTGACTGCCTAAAACAGCATGTTAATTCATAAATAATTACTTCACTTTAATTGCTTGCCATGCTTGTTCCAAGTAACTTAGAAAGCAATGAAAACATGCTACTTGAGTTAACAATATCTGCTATGGCAATTAAAACACCAGATTTTTTTTTTTGAATAACCATTACAGCAATTGTTAGGCACAAACACTTTACTGACTGAAAACCAAGGGTTATACTGCCACCTACAGGAGAATTGGACATTAGGCACATAGAAACTGAAGGCCAGCTTCATAGAAGCTATAATCCCTCCATTCCTACACCTGCTAATTTGAAGCAAGCAGTCAAAAGACTAAAAATAGTATATGAGCGGAGAGAGCTGTGTCCTTCAATGTACTCCAAGAAAATAATTTCACAGGGATTTTCTCTATGGGTCATTGAGAGACACAGTTTTATAGTAATAAGCAACAATTGGGCATCACAAAAGCAATCCAAATATAGGAGTGGGCACACCAAAACAACACAGGTGAACCAGCCCAACCTATAACAAGGGGAAAATAACGGCATTAAACGCACACTTTCAGAACTTGTTGGCCGAAACTGATCGATGATTTCGTAGATACATCAGATACATTTGTAGGTAGATACATCAGCCTCGAAAAACTTGAATGCGTGAACAGAAAACCAGTTTGCAGCCTTACAGATCTGAGAAACAAAAGTCTGCTAAAGAAAAGCCCAAGGAATACTCACTGCTCTAGTGGAATAGGTTTAATGGACAAGGAGGCACTTAATCTCACAACTTGTAGGCCTGCACAACAACCTATCCAATCCACTTAGAAATAGTGGATCTGGATGGACTCTTAGGACACTCTGGAATAACAGTTAACCTAAAATAAGCAGTGGCCAAAACCTGACGGGCCTCCACACATCCAGACAATGGAAAGAAATCTCAATGGGGTGAATGATGGAAAGAAAAAATGTAACATAAAATTCTCCATAAGGTTAAAAGCAGAGGCCAACTTATGCAAAAAGGTGGTTCTTGGTCTCAAAACAACTTTCTATTTGAGTAAAATCAAATAGTGCTCGTTATAGGACAACGCTGATTGCTCAGAGGAGACTTTTGGAATAACAACATAATGGATATGTCCCACACAGGTGCAAACAGGGGGATCTTTGGAACGTCAACAATAATAGGCTTAAATCCCCAGTAGGAGAGGGAGTTGAACAGGGGGAGCAACTCATGCAGTTTTAAAAAGAAAGTATGAATTTTTAGCAAGAGGACATTGAAAAAGAACAGACAGGGCAGACACCTAACCCTTGAGTGCAAAAGGCTATTACAATTTTCTACCCCAACTGGGGGAAAGAAAGAATAGGGTCTGCCAAAAAGATGTGTGGGCAACAAACCCAAAAGCCACCACCAGGTAAAAGGAATGGAATACATTTTGTGGAATGTAGATTTACAAGTTTTAAGCAAGGTCAGAACAACAAGACTTTTGTCTTACCTGTTAAATCAATTTCTAAGAGTAGGACATCAGTGTCCAGGGACTAGACACTGGCCTGTGCAGCCTGATGCCTCAATCATGGCAACAAACTGTCCCATAAACAGGCACATAGTATGGAAGATTTTGCTCTCTAAGGCAAAAAACGAAAACAAATAACAATGTACCCCTGATAGGGCAATAGACATGAGGGGAGCAAGCCAGAAGGTGTGCTAACAAATAGACCATCTGGAGCAGAGTCCATGGGGAAATCTCTGGCAAACCCTCTCGCCAACTGGTAGCTGTGGAACTGGACAACACTTTCCCCCCGGACTCTTTGCACCGGGAACTGTCCCAATTTGGAGCCCCAGCATCAACCCCCTTCCCGCGCACATGTTGAGTTAAGTATTTCACCACAAAGTAGAGTAGCAACATTTGGCATTACACCACTGCGAAGGCACCGCCAGCACTGAGCTTCACTTACTTTGGACAACCATTCCCCTGAAGAGGTCTTCAGGGACAGGATCACAACAGTGTGGATATGCCACCGCCCTGGACTTCCATAGTACCCTGTGGCTAATCCAACATGCGCAGCTATAAGATGGAAGGGATTATAGCCTCAAAAACTTTGGCCTTCTTTTTCTATGTGCTTAGTGTCTATTTCACCTGAAGGTGGCAGTATTATCCTTAGTTAATTATGATCATAAAGCTGTGTCCCTCAAATGGACAATAGAGAATGTGTGTTATTCGCGTGATTGTCAGATGCACATAAACCATGGAAAGCCTGAAAAAAAGAACATTAATGCTGCCACTGCATCTAAGAGCTGGTAAGCTGAAATAAATAAAATCTTTGTTTTTGGCTGTACATACAATTTAACATTAAAAGAAATGCAAACACTTTGTAAAAGCATGTTTTGACATAAATTTACACCTGGAATAACCAGAAATTTACTTACGAGGAGGCCTGGACTGCTGCGTTGACCAGTGAGCTGTTGGTCGTACAGGTGCTACAGGACCTGGATTATAAAATGCTCGGGCCGCTGGCTAAAATTAAACAGAACAGTCTGTTAATGTACATTTACTGAAGTGCATTACACTGAAAGCATATACTATTTTTAATTTGTGTCTATGAAACAGAAGCAGCACATGAATTCTGTATTTAAAGTGTCACTAAACTCATGAGTTAAATCTTAAAAATGCATTCAATTCCATTAACGAATAACAAAAATGTATCTTATTTGTGCATCAGTTGGCTGTAGATCCTCAAATCATCTCTGAATTGGTGCTGACACTGTCCTTCCTTCTGGAGGGTGGCCACTTTTGCTCCCTCCCATGATGGACTACAATCTCTTGTTTAGTTTACTAATTTGTATTGAGATTGTAGTCCATCAAGGGAGGAACTTGGAGCGGTGGCAACTTTACAACACACACAGGGACCATGGGGAACAAAAGTAGCCACCCTCCAGAAGGAAGGACAGTGTCAGCACCAATTCAGAGATGATGCAATTCACTGCAATTTTGATGAAGGCTCTGACTGGTCCCATGAAGTTTATGGCGATAGCTCTTACCACATAGGACAATTTACCACTTTCAATTTTCACATCAAAAATATTAGTCAACATTAATAATACTATAATAGTCTGGTACAATAAAATCTTTTTCTTGGAGTCCTTGGAGGGACACAGCTCTGAAGAATTCTGAGATGTAGGGTTATGCTGCGGCTTCCCAGAAGAAATGTGCACTAGGAAAAAAAAATGAGAAGCCTGCCACTTTAAAAGGACATAACCACTCCCACCTGCCAGTTTTAGCAAGGCGTATGAAAGGGAATGAGGGGAGGGAGCTGTGTTTTACTCAATGGGTTAAAAGGATTACGGTAAGACCAAAATCCTATCTTTCATAAATTGAGGGACACAGCTCTGAAGAATTCTGAGGCATGGGGACATTGAAATGAAAGGCCAAAATCACCTTGGGTAAAAAGTAAACACATGGTGTTAAAACAACCTTGTCCTTATGAAGAAGGAAATAGGGTTCTTCACAAAATAAAACAGACAACTCGGAAACCCATCTAGCAGAGGTAATCGACACAAGAATGGGAACCGTTTTGAATGGCAATGGCAAAGACAAATACATTTCTCAGATAGTTTCAAAAGGACGTTTTTATAGAACAGATAAAAGGAGACCTAACAGGAGGAACCTCATGTAGAACTCCCTGAATAAAAAGGTATTAGAAGCCAGAGGATGTTAAAAAAGGACTGACAAGGCAAATATCTGACCCTTAGGGTACTTCGAGCTAAATGTTGATCTACCCCAAGATAAAAGGAAAGACAAAATTTGCACTATAGCAAAGCACAAACCCCAAGGACTCGCATCAATGAAAATAAACCTTCAATATGCGGGGATAAATCTTACGAGTAGAAGATCTACTAGCCTTAAATATAGTCAGAATAACAGATTCTGAAATGTCTTTGCCTTTCAAACACTTGGGTTTCAACAGCCACAGGCCATTAAAGCCAGCGAAAAGCAGGGTGGAAGATTGGCCCCTGAAAAAATAGATTCGGTTTATCTGGAACAAGCCAGGGATCGTCTGCCAACAGATAAACCAAAACGACATACCACACCCTGTGAGGCCAATCTGGAGTGACGAGAATGACTGGAATTCCTTTGTGTTGTATCCTGTGAAGAAGCCCAGTTAACGGCGTTAGTGGAGGAAAAACATACATTAGTGTGTACTGATCCCACGGAGCTACTGAGGCATCCACTGCATCCGCCTTTGGCTCCCTCGCTCTGGATACAAATCTGTCCACTTTCTTGTTGTTATGAGAAGCCAGAAGTATCACATCTGACATTCTCCAGCGGTGACAAAGTTGTTGAAACACCCAGATTCAGACATCTGCTGAGAAAGTCAGCTGGCCAGTTTTTTACTCCTGGACAGGTGCACAGCTGAAATCACTGAAACCTAAAAGCTCTGCCCAATCTAAGGTTGAATGTACTCCCGCCGACACACTCCTGGTGCCTCCTTGATAGCACCAGGGATGCATGCCATCACCATAGCACTGTTTAAATCCGAATCAGACACCCAGACTGAAGACAGGTCCAAGACCTGTCTTCAGTCTGGCGTCCGTCATGACATTCTTCCAAGTTATGGAAAGAAATTACTTGCCCATTGTCAAAATAGGGGACGTCAACCACCACGACAGAGACATCTTGGCCAGGGCACACAATCTGATCATCTTGTCCAGCAATAGAGGATCTTTGTCCCACACTGGAGGAACCAAAACTCTCATGCAAGTTCTCAGACAGGAATGGCGATGGGACAGAAGCGGCCAAATTCGATCTTGCAATTTTAATAGTTTGCTCTGAGGAAGAAACGCCTTTGCTTGAGAGGTATCAAACAGAAGACCAGGTGATGTGACAGAACCAGGGACAATTTCCCTATGTATGTTCACAATCCACTCAAAATTCTCCAAGGTTGGCAGTATCATTGAGACATTGAGTTCCAGAGTCTGAAGAGATTGTTTTTGAAGTAAAAGGTTGTCTAAGTATCTAATAATCAGAATTCCCTTGCCAAAGAAAGAGTACTAGAGCCAGAGCTAGGACCGTTGTAAAAAACGCTTGGAGCTGAAGCTAGGCCCGAAGGAAAGAGCCATAAAGTAATGAAGTTCGCATATAGCAAAACAAAGAAAACGTTGATGAGCCGAAAAAAAGTGAATGCATAGATACGTATCCTTCATATCTATAGAAACCAAGAAATCTCTTTGAAGAAGAGATGCGACAACAGATCGTATATGGATTCCATCTAGGTTTTTTTAACACGAACAGACGCATTAAGATATTTTAAATCCAGAATAGGACAAAGACCCCCATTTGATTGGGGAACCGTAAACAGATTTGAGTAAAAACCTTGAAAACCTTCTGTCAAGGAATGGGAATAACACCCTGATCTAACAGACCTTGAACTGCACAAAAAAAAGTCCATCTGACATTGTTGAGACATTGGAAGCCGAGACGCAAAACATTTTACATAGTAGAAGAAAAGTTAGCTCTTTTCAGAAAAGGCGAAGAATCGCTTGATAAGTCAGTAGTTGTGGTGTTATAAACTGACACTGTATTGGCATATTGTAAAACAGAGACAGGGGACCTAGTATTGTATGTAATGCTACTGTGAAGCAGATATCACAGCAATTAAAGAGGATTTCCCAGTAGTTACAGTATGATAATCCTTTTTAGTAGTAGACATATTTGTAAACACTACTAGCGTCATTGCCACAGATTCCTAATACACTACTCACAGCCCCAGCAGTGTCAGGTGAGAAAGAGGAAATGTCGATGAACTTCCTGGTTACTGCAGATCAATATGGCACGAAGACAATGTGACACGAAGAAAAAGGTTTCTTTTGAGGACTTAAGGCATTAGGAACTTTCAGTCAATATATATTCTTGTTTGCGAGCCGCAGCCTTAACATTGTGAAGCTGTCCCGATCTCCAGAAATGCCCTCGCATGGGCGTGCATGTTCAGTTGAATTTTAATTGCATCACTACTCAAAGTCCCGGCCTCTTAAAGAGGCATCAGGAAATTTAAAAAAGGTGACAGACGCCAGTAAAGACATCATACAGGGACATCAACACAAGGGAGAAAGATTTTTTATATACAAAAAATAATTACATAATTAAATAATTTTTCAATACATAAAACACTTCTTTAAATGTACATCATTAATAGCTCTATTTTGTCATAATCCTCAGATATAAAAAAAAAACTGTCCTGACCGAATATTTGCAGAAAGATCATGGATCAAGTCCGGGCACCGCAGGATGAGTCGTAAGTACTGAGACCAGAGACAACCTGCCTCTTGAAGACTAGCAGCCCTCGGTAGCAGAATCTCTTCCATGACTTAAACTAAAATAATAATAAAGCAGAAGAGAAGGAGACATCCATTCTCCTGATGGCACCAAGCAAAAATGGCAGGTGGGAGGGGTTATGTCTTTAAAGCAGCAGGTTTTTATGTTTGTGTGCCTACAGTAGTGTCCATTTCTCCTAGAGGCAGCAGCATAACCCTACGTCTCAGATTGTTCAGAGCTGTGTCTCTCAATGGATGATAGGGAAATAAGAAGCAGCAAATCAAATTTTATCTGGTATTTCACTAAAAACAGGCCCACAGGTTACACTAAAGATGTTCCTAATCTGGCCTAAAAGTCTCTAAAAAGGTAACTATAGGGTTGAAGTACTGGAGCTTAGTGGTGCCTGCAAGTATCTGTGTCTTTACATTTGCTCCTGTGAAGCCGGTGGCATCCTAGCTCTAGGCTGCGCTTGGTGCCATAACTTCAGTTGATGCTTTATTTTTTATAACGGGCCTATATATAATGCCAATATACTCAGCCCTTTACATACTGTACATTCACAGCAGTCCCTGCCCTCATGGAGCTTACAATCTACAGACCCTATCTTACATGCGTACATACATACACGGACACACATACTAGGACAGATTTAGACAGGAGCCAATTATGTCTTTGGAGTATGGAAGGAACCCAGAGTACCTAGAGGAAACCCATAGAAACACAGAGAACATATAAAGGCCATACAGATTATATCCTGGCTAGGATTCAAAGCAACGATGCCAATGCTGCAAGGCGCAATAGAGAAAAAGCTCTGTCCCACCTCCCATCCATTAACTGTCAAATGCCATAGCCTCTACTACTCATTACAATTCTGTCATTTGACAATTGAATGGCAAGGGATAGGGCTGAATTTGACTTAGGGAGAAGTGGAGGCCCTTTGTAGAGACTACAGGACTTAGGTTCTAAAGGTAGTGTGTTAAAAGGAGAACTATGAGACGAGTGATTTCCACTCACCTCATAGTTCTAGCGGACCTGTGACAATGAAACTGTCACAGGTCGGCTCAGTAGATCGGGAGGTGAGCGAACACATACCGGGTTCGCTCACCTCTCGATCCTGTCACGGCTCTCTGCCGTGACAGGGGGAGGGGCTGGATTCCCCTCTCCGATCTGCCAGCGCTGACTGGCGGAACGGACGGGGGAGGGGGCGGGTACAGCTGGCTCTGCCTCTAGATAGGCAAAGCCAGCTGACACTCACGCAGCTGGGCGGATCCCGTCGTCTAAGTCGGGATCCGCTCCGGCGTCTCAGTATACCGCAAGCTGTATCTCGCGGTATACTGAGCTTAGAGTAACGGGAGGACGCTAGTTTGTGTCCTCCCGTTACCCTAAGGAGAACTGTGGGGAAAAACACTGACTCCATAGTTCTCCTTTAAAGTGCAGCCTTCCTTTAGATGCTTCTATCACTAGCAGCACAATATAAACAAAAGCCACTGAAAGCATTACCTGGGGCATAGCAGGAAGGAAGTAGCTTGTAGGCTGTTGGAATTGGCCGAGCATGGGACCGGGCAATGCTCTCATCGTTGCTAGCCTCTGCATATACTGATTGGTGAGAATCGCTTTCCTCTCCTCTTTCCGTTGAGCCAGTGCTACATACAGAGGCTTTGTGCTTACAATTCGTCCATTCATTTCAGTTACGGCCTTAGTTGCCTCTTCTGGAGAAGAAAAACAGACAAACCCAAAGCCCTTGCTGTGTCCTCCCTCCGTCATCACCTGAAGTTGAAAATGAAAAATTTGCCTTTACTTTCTTTACATAGTTCACCTGTCAAACAGAAGGCCAGAAGACTGCATTTCATGTGGCCCTTGCACCTCTCCTGCAGTTGAAGCAACCCCCTCGTCCCTGCCCCCACCTTGTCTCAGCAGCAGAGAGGAGGACATTACACTTTGGATATACTGACTAGGGATGCACTGATACCGATATCAGTGTAAATACTGGGCACTCTCATGAGTACTCATGAAAATGCCCTGATACCAACCGCTCATACCGACGCTTTGAATTTTAAAACCTTAGCCATCACTGTAAACAGGTGACAGGCTTTACAGGAAGGCTGCCAAGGTCCCCGCAGCCTTCCTGTAAATAGTGGCGCCCATTTACACTGCCAGCAGCAAATCTCCTCTTTCCTGTAGATTCCTGCTGCCCTCACTCACCAAGACTGTCCAGGACCCCTGGTGAATCCAAACAGCCCTCCTAAGACCCTGCACAGCCCACCATAGATCCCGCACAGCCACCTGAGAGTCCATACAGCCCTCCTTAGAACCTGCACAGCCTAACATGGACCTCGCACAGCCCACCTGGGAGTCCGCACAGCCCAGTATAGGCCCCACAGAGCCAACCTGAAACTCCATAAAGCCCAGCATAGACCACACACAGCCCACCATAAAACCTGCAGAGTCACCCGAGTGTCCGCACAGCCCACCATAGAACCTGCAGCCACCCAAGAGTCCGCACTATTACACTAATTGCCATTATTTTTCCTAGACTTCTATTTTCAGAGCTAGTTATTAAGTTATTACTAAAACCAGCAATAAATGAATGCAGAGGCAATTATTTAATATGATAAAGAGTAGATACATTCATATAGTCTTACAGATACAAGCGGCCCTTTGAGGGCAACCATAACGCTGATATAGTAGGTACAAACAAAACGTTGAAAACACATTAACAAGTTTCAGTCCTTTCTTTTCTGTCAAATAGCAACTCAATGTATTCTCTCTCTACAATGTTTAAAAATTAAAGAGAGCTCCAGCAAATAAAATAATTGAAAAGGGTAGTGGGAGGCAAGTGTAATGTGCCAATTACACTTGCTTCCATGTTGTACCTCAATGTTGTCCAGCTTTATAAAAACGATGACTGGAGAGCAGCAGTACCATTTGCTCAAGGCCACAGGTCTGTGCACTTACTTCCTGACCTTGATTTTTTTTTTTTTTTTTAAGACTGAGGTTTAGTAAAAATTTGATTTTTTTAACTTTGACAGTGAAATTCGTGTCTTGGAGTACAGTACATAGCCAATTCAGAGACCATTGGGTAATATGCAGGTATCAGGTGATTAGACAATTGCCAGAGCTGTGAGGACCCTCATATAACCCCTCCCACTCTCAGAAATCCTCAGTTTTATAGCATGCAATAGAGGACATAGAGAGGGGAGGGTGCTGTGTCCTGTACTATACTCCAAAAAATTGATTTTATTGGCAAGTCAAAAATCGTATTTTCTTGATTGTACAAGACACAGGCAATTCACAGATGACTGTGATGTCCTAAAGCAATAAATCAGAGGGGTGGGCAACACAACAAACAGATAACAGCCTGGAGCTTCCTACGGCCAAAGCCCCAAACCTCCACCTGTTATGAAACTTAGCAAATGTGTGCACAGAAGACAAAGGTGGCAGCCTGAAGGTGCCCACACACCTTACGATAATCGTGCGATAATTGCAGGAAATCCCGCGATCGTACGATTATCGTAAGGTGTGTGGGAGCCGTGCGACCTCTGCTACTGTAAGATCGCACGACTTTTATCTTAGGAACATGTTCGAAAACCCGCTGAGAATCGTATGATTTTCGGCGGGTGTGTAGCATGTTCGTAAGATAAAAGCCAGAAGGGCCGCTGTGCGCAAGCGCACACTGCCCGCTCGGCATTGCAGTCATCGGAAGCCGGCCCCTCAGCGGGGCAGGCTTGCGATCATCGCAAGTACGATCTGCCTGTCCAAGATAGGCAGATCGTACGTTTTTTTCATTCACCTTAACAAGGTAAGCAAACTACATACATATCCCTCAGTAGAGAGGAGACATCCATCATCAAAGGGCACTTGCTGTCATCTCTGAATTGCCTACATTCTGTACATTATTGTCATGAAAGTTTTTTTGTGGCAATACAGCACTAAACACATTAGACACGTGTATTGGTGTGTATCCCCATAACGTCTGATTCTTGTGAAAATCTTCCCCTTACAGCTGCCATATATTACACTCAGCGGTGCTGTGAGATACGTCAGAGAAAGTAGTCTGTTAGAAGCTACTGTGTAAAGTTGTTCCGCTGGTACGGCCCATCTGCTTGTAAAGCAGATCTCTCATGAAAAGAAAAAAAAACTGCTCTCGGGTATAAAGTGCAGGTACCTTTATGTGCAGTAGCCTCAATGCTCACTTATTATGCCTCCATATCAGGCCATTCTGATGGGCAAAGCTCTGGCATATCCTGGTAGCTTGGAATCCTATGGTCACCTCCTGCAGGTACAAACTGGCCAGTAAGGTAGCGCATCAAAAGTGATGGGCAAATAGAGATGTGTCTGAGGCATGAAGGTAGGCCTGGACACTGCCAGAAGTATCAGAGCTTTGCCAGTCACAACAGCCCATTATTCTGGTGTAATGACAGCGTTTGCAGGCTGCACAGTTTATGTGCATGCACCTATGACATCAGTTTATTTTCCTTTAACTGATAAATTCCCAACATTTCACATTCAGCAGGATTACCTTTGCACTGGTAATGGTGCCATATGGAGAAAACTCTTTTCGGAGTCTTTCATCATCAATACCATCATCCAGGTTCTTTACATACAAGTTCACTCCCTGTAGTATATAAAATGTGTAGAGACATTGTTACCGAGTCACAAGCAAAAGATGTAAAGATAAAACAAATATATAAAAATCAAGCCCAGGCTTATTAAAACTGGAAAAAAAACCAGAGCATCCCCAAGACATACAAAACTGTTGGACAATTTAACGCTTCAGCATCATCAAAATGCAAATATCCATTTTGGGTCAGGTGATCCGGTAAGATCATTGCAGAATTTAACACTGTGTTTCTTAGTGCTAGTTACTAATGTAAAGATTTTTTTGTTCAACTTATGGCAGGAACACAATAAAAGCTTTTTCTTACCTGATATCTACTAATCCGCTCTTGCTTGATCTGCTCAAACCTGCGTTTGAGTTCAGTCTGACGTTCTATCCGCTTCTGAGCTCTTCCTACGTAAACCATGCGCCCGTTTATATCTTTGCCATTCATTTCAGCAACTGCCTATCCCAGAGCAAAAAAAAACAAACACTTTCCTTTGACATAATGTACACACAATTGCGTATATGTACATTTTAGAGGTGTGTTTGTCCCTTTACACATATGTATGAAAGGTTATTGGACTTTACGTAGCTAGGACTTTACTGGGCTGGTGGCTATATTTGAGACAAATGCATACCCAGCGTACAAAAAGGCATTATTTTCTTTTAGAAACAAAACTGATTTACTTACTTTCTGTGCTTCCTCGTGATTTCCAAAGTTGACAAATCCAAATCCACGAGACCGGCCATTATCATCCATCATTACTTTTACACTTAACGTGCTTCCTACAAAATAAAATCATTTCTATAAAATGCCAGGTGCTTTTGCACTCACTTTTTCCTTTATTTCATTCTTTAAAAAAATGGTAACTGTATGTGCCTTTATATAACCTTTTTTTTCTCAGTTTGATCTGTTCAGCTTCATCTGTTCAGCTTCATTGACAGTAATGTGAATGATTCACTCTTTCACCAAGGAGTGTACAGTTGTTAAAATACTATATTTCCTATTAAACGAAACTTGGAGGGAGACCCTATTTAAAATAATGCATCGGGCCTATGTGGCGTACTTTCTTCCAGCCGGAGCGACGGTGCAGCATCTGATATCGTTGTGCCCAAAATGTGGAGTTTCCTGCCCCTCATTGACCCACTGGCCGTGCCCTTCTATGGTGCATTTCTGGACATGCGTTGCCTCATATCAAAACGGTCCTGCAGTGGACCGCACGCTTAAACCCACTGCTGTACTTGTTCAGTGCTTCCAAATACTCCGCAGAGGAACCTCACTGCTCGACCCACAGGGACAGGGACTGGCTGAACATATGCCTACTTGCTGCTCGACGATGTATAATGAGATCTTGGAATACATCTTGCACACCGCCAATCTCAAGTGTCACCACATGTGACACCAAATGCAACCCTTTATATACTCCAATTGGTATCTTACATAGTTGCATAGTATTTGAGGTTGAATAAAGACATTAGTCCATCAAGTCCAATCTTAAGGCTAAACTGGCAAATAGCCTGGAAGTGCCTTAATGTGTAATGGTGATGTATTTCATGCTTTACCTGCAACGTCCTTAGGAGCATTTATTAAGTATAGAATATGATAACTACTGTAAGTGTGGCAACCATATTGGGAATGTTGGAAAGTTAGAATTTTTGGTATAACTATTGGGGGTAACCTCAAATTGTATCAACTATATTTCATGTGACAAAACGGTTAGTCCCCTCAGGGGTGTAGCCGAAAAAACTAAATAAAGTTTGTTTTAAAAAAAAACTATTTCCCATTCAGAAAAAAATGAAATGAATAAAATAAAATATTTTGCCTGGAAACATTTGGAAACTCCTTAATAATACACCAAAAGGCTTTTGTCCCGCCATATTCTACAGATGAGCAAGTTTCAAACCAATACTTGCAGTATTACCTGATTTACAACTGATACTCAGAAGGGGCCTCTGCCCTTTCATCTTTTAATATTTTAAGAAGGGAAGATACATAGGGAAATGTGAATGCAAATGTACTGTTAGGCAAGCAGAAGAAAAAATGCCATTTGTGATAATTGTCCTTTGAACTATGCAAGTCTCATCACATGTAGGTTGTAGTATTTCAGGCAGTGGCATTGGTATGATATTTAGGGTGTACCATACCAAAAGCAGAAAAGATCTGCTTCAGCCTTTCATCGTCCATGTCTTCTCCAAAATTTTTGATGTATACGTTGGTGAACTCCATCACTTTTGCACCATATTCCATTTCTCTTTCTTTTCTTGACTTAAAATGACCAACAAATCTAAGAAAAGGAAAAAAGAAATCCCATATTTAATTTTATTGCACGTTTTGACTTTCAAGCCCAGCTATTTAAAGAAAAGCCTTTTTATCACATACACGGTTAAGACAGAGTTGATAAGGGGGTCTCTCCTGCCCCCCCCCCTTACCAAAACCCCTGGAATTGGCAACAGGGAATGCAAGGACACAAACTAGCACAAGTGCCAGCGTTACAGGAAGTACCAGATCTGTTGAGACTAGCGTGTGTGTGGACTAGGCGTGTACAGCCTTGGAAAGCAAACAGAATCAGGAACACTGGAGTACCGCAGCAGGAGACTGCGTGGTGGACAGGATACAAACCAAGGTCTGTAACAACCAAGCAGCAAGGGTACAATTCAGGAGACACAATTGGAATTGGGGATTCAAGCAGAGGTCAGTAACAGTTGGGCAGTAAAGATACCAATTTAGGGGACAGGATTAAGTCGAGGCCATTAAGACTCTGGCAGCAAGCAGTCAAGCAAGTAGGCAGAGGTTACAGTGAGTAATCAAAAGTCCAAAAACAGGTCACAAGGCAAGTCAGATTGTACACAGGAAGGCAGAACTGCTGGTCAGGTTGGAGGTTAACAGAACAAGCTGAAGACCACTCAGCAATATGTCAGTGAAGTGTTCCATTTTATAGGGGCCATTTGGCAACAACACCAATGCTGTGGAGCATGTGCATGCTTGCTAATGTCTGGCAGTCACCCTAAGCACAGAGCCATGTACTCTAGTATGCGCACATGCATGTGACCGCACTAGTCTTCTTGTACTAAAACAAACCAAAATTGTCCTCAAAATTGCCTCACCTTTCCCCCACCTTAAAGAGGACCTTTACCCCCTTTGACTAAAAATCCCATCAGCATGCAGCTTTGCATACTGATATGAAATCATCTTCCATTCATTAAAAACATATTTTTCTTTCACTTACAATTTCTTGCCTTCTACTTCCTGGTTCTCTTTGGCTGAAGTGATGGAATTGTGCCCTAGGAAGTTTACATCAGCAGAGCATTGCTTGGAAATCTCACTAGATCTTAGGGGAAGACATTTTCTTCCCCGAGATGATGTGCATGGTCTCATGTCCTAGTCACATGTGCCAGAGTTGCAGGAAGTAAAGGGGGATGGATTCATCTGCCCTTAGATAAAATGGCCACTGTGAGAAGAATGGCAAGGAAAAGAAAAATAAGGTATAAGAAAACTAAAAAGGTGGCAATTATCTAGAAGTATCTGTTTGTAAATTGCCATTACTAAACATTTATAAAAGGTGTATTTGTTTCTACTTTGAAAATATGGGTAAAGTTCCTCTTTAATGGGCAGCCTGCAGATGCCCAACCAGGATATTTTTTCAGGATAATCCTGGGGGAAAAAAAATCTTTAAATCAATCTTGGGGAGTTTGAAGTTGATTTCTGGTTTCAAATTGAATCCTTTCGACTTAAATACTGGATAAAGCCTCTACACTTCCTGCAGTATGTAATAGTATCAACATTGTATTCCTCAATCATTGTAGGAGCAGGAAGTCGTGAAATGTACCCAGAAAATGGATCTGAAACAGCAGCCTTTAACAGCTGCACATAAAAGACTGGATGGATTCTGTAAGTTGTATAATCGTCATGATTAATCTTTTAAAACAAAGATTCTTATTTATATACCGATATAAAGTTTTCAAATTCTGGTTTAGACAATGGAAAAATCCACCAAAAAGGTAATTCAGAGCCTGGTTTAACTGGGCAGCCATAAGGCCAATGAGGAGATAGTACGTTGGCTTTATTCTTGATAAAGATGTCCAAAAATTCATGGTATACTGGAGGGACATATCTTGATGCAGAATGCAGATACAGAATGTAGTCCAAAAAAAACCAACTCAAATCTATCTGACGGTTGTGTGTTTCTAGCCAGGGAATGCCCAGGATAAACTGGGAACAGAGAAGACAGGATAATGTCCAAACACAAATGTTCTGGTGACCAGTAGCAAAGTTACTAAAGGGAAAGTCTCTTGAACCATCGGTATAGATTTGAAACTGGATCCATTGGTCAGATGAATGGTTACTTGCTGAGCGTTGGCTTGCAAGGGATCGTCTGTTGTTGAGCAATGGCCATGAAAATGCTACATGCACCAGAGTCTAGGATTGCTCAGACTCAAGGTAGCATCCAGGACCTCTCTGCCCGTCATTCTTGGAGTCTGCGATCAAGCTGGATGACAAGGATGAACTGGCCAGAGTGGCAATTCCCAATTCCCTTGAGGACCTTTCCATCTCAAGTGTTTTAGAAAGAATATCGCAAAGCAGCATTTTTCCAGTTGCATTGGAACTCCACATAAAACTGCCACATATTCCTCAACAAGTCAATGTCTAGGTGGCAGGGAGGATTCTGCAGTAGAACATCACTGAGGATTGCAGTACAGCTGAGCCATGGATTCAAAAAAGAATGCAGTTGTATCCACAAATGGTCTGTTCTGTTCTAGCAGATGTTGAGCCCAAGACTGTGGTTCTCCCAGGAATAATGATATGACAACTCCATGTTTGTAGATTCAAGAGATGTAGATTCAAGAAAGTCCCTGATGGTAAAGTAAAATACAACTGACAGACATTTCTAAACACCTAGAACTTATTAAGATGGCCTGGAAAGTGTTCTGGAACTGGTACTCGAGGTTTCAGCAGAGGGATCGACCATTGCATGTGCTAGACAGTTCAACCATGACAGGTTCAGTTGCAGGTTGAAAGAAGTGGAGCAAGGTAACAAATCAGGAGACCAGATCAGAGTAGCGGATTTAAGGAGAAGTAACAGCCAGGCAAGGCATAAGGCAGCAGGCAGAGTCAAGCAAGCAGGCTGAGGACAAAATGGGAAAGCAGAGGTCCAAAAGCAGGTTGCAAGACTACACAGTAAAACACAGGAAAGCAAAACAGTTGATGCAGTGTTCCAGTTTATGCTGTATAGGCATTTTGAAGCCAACACTAGAACAAAGCATGCATGAACGCATGTCCGTGCTCAGGCTGCGAGGTGTGCATGCTAATGCACAGGGCCACATGCTAGAATATGAACACACAATTGTGCCTGAAACTGTCCTTTTACTAGACCAAACCTTTCTTTAAACTTTTTCTTCAAGATTTCTGAACAGTTTATTGACCAAGAGCAATCTGATTGGTTGCTGTAAAGCAACACAGACTATTGCATGACTCTTACAATGTCTGATTTTGTTTAATAGTTGGTCAGATAATCATAATTATTTGATCCCCTGCTGATTTGGTAAGTTTACCCACTTACAAAAGAAATAAAAGGTCTATAAAAAAATTTCATAGGTATATTTTATAGATAGAGACCGAATAGCAACCAAAAATAAAAAACAAACAAACACATGATACAAATTAAATTGAGTTGCAGTTCAGTGAGTAAAATAAGTATTTGATCCCCTACCAACCAACAATAATTCTGGCTCCCACAGACTGGCTATGTGGTACACAGATTAGTCCTGTCAATTTAAGAACGTGTCCTAACGACAACTTATGTATATAAAAAGACACCTGTCCACAGAATCTCTTTCTTCCATTCAAACCTTACCACCATGGGCAAGACCAAAGAGCGGTCAAAGGAGGTTAGGGACAAGACTGTAGACCTGCACAAGGCTGGAATGGGCTACAAGACTATCAGCAAGAAGCTTGGTGAGTAGAAAACAACTGTTGGAGTGATTATTCGCAAATGGAAGGAATACAAAATAACCATCAATCGCCCTCGGTCTGGAGCTCCATGCAAGATTTCGCCTCAGGGGGTAAGAATGATAATGACAAAAGTGAGGGATCAGCCCAGAACTACACGGGAGGAGCTTGTGAATGATCTCAAGGCAGTTGGGACCACAGTCTCCAAACAAACCATTGGTAACACAATAAACCGCCACGGATTGAGATCCTGCACCTCAAGAAGGCACATGTACAGGCCCATCTGAAGTTTGCCAATGAACATCCAAATGATTCAGAGAAGCATTGGGAGAAATGATGAGACCAAAATTGAGCTCTTTGGCATTAAACTCTATATTTACACAGGGGAAGGAAGGTTCCAATCACAAAATAGTATATATATAAATAAATATGTCATTGGTGGGTCTCCTATACCTTTATCAAAAAATAAACAGGTCCCCTTTAAAGTAGATATCACCAGTCAATTCATGCTGCAACTATGTTGTCATATATATAAAAAATATAATTTAACAAACAAAATAAAGCACACAATGTATCATACTAAAAACCTGTAAAAGGTAAGTATTGCACTATCTGTAACCTAGGTTAAACGTAAATAAAGGGATTGATGTGGGTCGCTCCAGCGTCCGAATCCAAAATGAGATCCAATGGTATAGTGCAGTGGTGGCGAACCTTGGCACTCCAGCTGTGCCAAAACTACAAATCCCAACATGCATCTGCCTCTGGGAGTTATGTCTGTGGCTGTCAGAGCCTTGCAATGCCTCATGGGACTTGTAGTTCCAAAACAGCTGGAGTGCCAAGGTTCGCCACCACTGGTATAGTGTATGTGGGGACAGCGTATCACCGCAAACTCACAGACAGGATCAATCACAGGGATACTTTGTAGCAGGATGAAAATCCGTACGAAGCACACGTACGAGCCAACTCACAATGGCAAAAATCAGAAAGCCACAGTTCAACTCTTGTCATAAAGAGTAAAGATAGGTGGATACCCAATGGGCTCTAAGCAGATAATATTCGAGGACACCGACCTTTTCGATGAGTTATGTCCCAAACGGGAATGATTCCAGTGAGTTCCGGGAAGCATGTACCGCCGTACAGAGGAATGCGAGTTTGAATCCAACTAACCAACTACAAGAAACTTCTTACCTCTTGTTGTAATGAGAAGCCAGAAGATCCACATCCGGTGTTCCCCAGTGGTGACAAAGATGTTGAAACACCTCTGGATGGAGAGACCAGTCACCTGGATCCAGACCTCGTCTCCTGAGAAAATCCCCCTGCCAGTTTTCTACTCCTGGAATGTGGACCACTGAGATCACTGGAACTTGAAGTTCACCCAATCCAAGATCAAATGTACTCTAGGTGCCTTCCTGGTGATTGATGTATGTCATTGCCGTAGCATTGTCTGACAATCAGAATCTGACACCTTGACAGAAGACGACTCAAGTGAAACAAAACCAGATGAATCACTCCCAAGACATAAAATCAATGGTTTGGATTCTTATGGAGAACAACAAACCTGTACAGACAGATGATCCAAGAGACCATCCCATCCCACAAGACTGACGTTTGTTGTGACAATCTTCCAAGTTAGGGAAATAAATGATTTTCCCATTGTCAATGCAGGAGATCGTCAAACAGCATGACAGACATCTTAAAATATAAAATTCACTTCAGTACAGCGCTGCATGACTGAATAAATGTCAGTGAAAATACCGCAATGAACACTGAAGAATTGCCTGGACAGGAAGAGGGTTCAACACCCCGGTCTTCAAGTGGTTAAAAAGGTGAGGTCTGCTGACAGGGTCTCTTAGTACCATGATAAGCATCAACAGAACAGCTCACAAAATCCACCCCACAAATTTCCCGATAGGCTGAACAACAAATGTTCCAACACCAGTGATAAATCAGAATGACCGATGGGTTAGCTTGCGGCCTCATTCAATCTAATATTTAAAAGTGGTTGAGGACCACATACTATGAATGACAGGGCCACATAGACGTAAGGGCACCATTGGTTTGATATAAAGAATTTCCACTTTTTACAGTCCAAGGAAGACCACATAAATCGGCTTTTTTACGAGTTACAAAGTTGATACAACTTACACTTTTCTGTCATTAAGTAGCATGCCATTCATGGTCTGTATTGCTCTGTTGGCAGCCTCTTGGGTCTCAAAATGAACAAAGCCATAACCTCTCGATCCATTCTCATCACAAACAACCTGTAGAAATAACAAAACAAAAAAAAAAATCAATGAAATTTGCTATCTTCACGCAAACAAAAAAAATAGCACTTGCAGTGGGTCTACCCCTCCACTTTAAGGGTTAAGTGCACATTTTGACTGGAGTAAAGCAGATTTACTTATCTGATCCTCACTCCTGCCAGCTCCCTCAGGGCTGCTAGACTGGTCCCTGTAGACCAGGGGTCTCAAACCTCCGGCCCTCCAGCTGTGGTGGAACTACAAATCCCATGAGGCATTGCAAGATTCTCACAGCCACAGACATGACTCCTGAGGAGAGATGCATCATGGGATTTGTAGTTTCACCACAGCTGGAGGGCCGGAGGTTTGAGACCCCTGCTGTAGACTCTTCTCCACTGGGCTACAGTGATCTACGGACCACTGATGTCATCACCTCTTATGCAGGTTCCATAGACCTACATCAGATGCGAGGACACAGAGGAAGATTCCACCAGTTGAAGCAGAGGGGGGGGGATAAAGGTGAGCACTAACTGCAGGATGAGTGGTGACCAAGTAAATCTGCTTTATTCCAACCCCTAGACAAAAAGAAGCACCTAACCCTTGCAACCACAAGGCTGGTGCCATTGTTCCTCCATACAGTGGAGCCACCCTATAAAAAAAAAAAAAAAGTTTGTAACTGACAGGATCACCAGGAGAAAAAGAAAAAACCCCCAAAAAAGAAAAGGAATGCAGCCACCACATCTATGAACTGAGCAGCTGCAATATAATACATTTTTGTTTCTGGGTTTAGAAATCCTTTAATAAAAATTAGGGATGCACCGATACTGTTATTGGTGCCGATAACGAAAAGCTCCTTCTGACCAGCAGTGCCGAGGGAGCATGGAGCCTGCTTCCTTTCCAATCAGTAAGCTGGCCGGCAGGTTATAAACTGCATCCCGGTTTCCTGATTGGCTAGGAAGCCGACTTCACTCGTTGCTAGGCAGCCTGGCTTCCTGACCAATGAGGTTCCGCCCGGCTTCCTTAATAGTCAGAAGGCTAGGCAGCCTGGGGAAGTGAAGCCGGTGTTCTTTCAATATAACACTGGCTTCCCAGGATATCAGGAAGCCGGGCAGCGGATCATAATCCTGATAATCAGGGCACACAGCACAAGTATCGGTATCGGCGAGTACAGAAAAAAAATATATAGTTACTCGTAGTCAATACTGAAAAACCGGTATCTGTGCATCCCTAATAAAAATAACAGCAATGGTACAGGAGGAGTACCCACCACTGCAACCTGGAACACGTAGGCTGCTATTATGGACATGTTCCTGGAAATGCTAGCGACTTCTCAATCATGCTGTACAACTTTCTCCAATCAATGATCTAACACAAGTATGTATCAAGGAAAGTCGAAAAGAGAAGTTTGCACTCTTGACCTGCATACATGCTATAGGTTAGAAAATTCTGAAGTCACTGGATCAGCAAGGCAACTAGAATTTTCACATAGCAACAGTTTCCCTTACAAACTGTTAAAAAAAACAACTTGATATTTGATTATGGCTTGGTTTCTGGTAAGGTACATCCCATGCTGGCTTCCTGAAGCATTGCCTCACAATAAGTTGAATGGAACTGGAAATTCGAGTATATTTCCACTCTTGCAGTCAAATTTGAGAAATCCCCTCTATATGTTCGTTATGTCTTCCTATTCACACAAAATAACTTAAAAAAATTCTTACCCTTTATATGTTTTGTTAAAATCAGGCAAGATTTCCCATTCCAGGTTTTTATTTTTAGCCCTTTCACAGTGATCTGTCCTGATAGAAATTTGAATTCTGAAATTTGAGGATTGTGTTTTATCTGATACGCTTCATTAACATACAAATGGGCAAGCCACCTTAGACCCCTGACAGTCCCTCCTCAAAGAAGCTAGAAGACATTTTAACCCTTAGGCTGGGATCACACCTAGGCGTATCGAATATGCTCGTTTCGTGCCGCGTGTTTTTACCGCGATTTGCGGTAAAAAAGCGCGACAAACGCACGTTTCCGAGGGCTACCTGGCTGTATCCCAATGGATACACACGGCAAATACGCCCCAAAGAAGCTCCTGTACTTCTTTGGGCGTAGGGCGTTTTGCAGCGCGTTCCTACGCGCTGTAAAACGCCCAGGTGGGAACCATACCCATAGGCAATCATTGGTTTTCACATGTTGAGCATTTTACAGAGCGTAGGAACGCGCTGTAAAACGCCCAGGTGTGAACCAGGCCTTAAACCCCTAAACCAAGGATAAGCTATTTAAACTGCAAGAAGCATTTTTAGTTTTTTTTTTAGCTTATGCTATGTGAATGGGAACATGTAGAAAATATAAAATAGCTGTTAGCCCAATTTGGCTGCGAAAGTGGAAATACACCTCAAGCAGAAATCTATGATCGTGTAAGATTCTCTCATAAGACTTCTTATCATTCATAAAAAATTATTGTCAAGTCATAAAGAAATAACATCTTTATCCTAACCATGTGGGAGAGGGTAGAGACACCAACAACTGCAGTAAAACCTTGCCTTTTATTTTTCTGATCGATATTAATAAGCCGTCAAGCAATTCAACCTGCAGGGGGCTTACAAGTAAAAATTATGTAAATTACAGCATTATACAAAACATCAAATAAACCACTTACTTTACAAGACAAAATGTTCCCAAATGCTGAGAATGTGTCATACAATGCTTTGTTATCGATTGAGTCATCAAGGTTTTTGATGAAAACATTTCCCACTCCAGATTTCCGAAGGCCAGGATCTCTCTGAGACCACATAATACGGATTGGTTTACCTTTAATGACCTCAAAATTCATAGTATCTAAAGCCCGTTCAGCTGTGGAGAGTTAGCAACAGAAAGGAAAAACATGAAATGAAAAGATAGGATTTTTTTTTTATCACATTCTGCCTTTTCCCACACAGCAACACACAAAGGTTTTGTCTAATTTTGTAAATATAAATTGTTGGCTCATATAATTCTGGCGATTTACGAAACACATGCTCAATTTACAGCATGCACATTACACATACAGTGAGGAGAATTTCTCAAAACTGGAGCAGACAAAATCTACAGCAGCTGTGCATGGCAACCAATCAGTGTCTATCTTTCATTTTCAAATCTTAACCGAACAAACCGAGGATAGAAGCTGATTGGTTGCCATGGGCAACTGCTCCAGTTTCTATAAATCCCCACAGATTATTTTCAAGGTAGTCTGTAAATAACAGTTGATTCATCTTGCTAGCTGAGTGATATACAAATAAACTACATTTTGCTATTAAGTTAAGTTACTTGAATGCATTTTTAAGCTTTAACTCCTGAGTTTAGGATCACTTTAAGCTGGCCATACACCCTGCACATTTCAAGTCCTGCTCGAAAAGGGGGATCCTCCCATATGCGCTGTTAGCCCATACACCTTGCGATTATTGTTCGATATATTTCCTGCCCTCGTCGAACCCTCGTCCGTTTTCTGCTCGAATACCCCACCATGCACAGACCAATGTGTATTTTGATTATCGTTCATTAGCAATACTAACTGACCGAATTTAGTCGATCGACAGAACGGATTTTTGTTTCTGCATGTAGTGTTTATGTTGCAATTATTTTCATACGAAAATGCCACTAATCCATCGATTTTCATACGATTCGAAAAAAAATGTCTAGCCTGATCGATCGAGGAAATTCGTCCAGTTGTACAGTGATTGCGATTGTTTACTTACCATCAACTGGCTGATTATCATACAAAAACCTGATTTTGTTTGATTTCCGAATTACGATCGCAAGGTATATGGGCACCTTAAGGGAATCAAGAGTTTTCAACCAAGAGAAAATGCATTCAAGTACCCTATTAACAAAAATGTAGCTTATCACTTGGCTGTAGATCCTCAAATCATCTCTGAATGGTGCTGACACTGTCCTTCCTTCTGGAGGGTGACTACTTTTGTTCCCCATGGTCCTCGTGTGTGTTGTGAAGTAGCCACTGCTCCAAGCTCCTTCCTCTGATGGACTACAATCTCAATACAAATTAGTAAACTAAACATGAGCTTGTAGTCCCATCACAGGAGGGAGCCTGGAGTGGTGGCTACTTCACAACCCACACAGAGACCATTGGGAACAAGAGTATCCACCCTCCAGAAAGAAGGACAGTGTCAGAGATGATTTGAGGATCTACAGCTGAGTGATACACACATAAGATACATTTTTGTTAATAGGTACTTGAATGCATTTTAAGATTTAACTCCTGAGATTCTTGTCACTTTAAGGTGTGTATCCCTCCTCTAACTTAATCATGTCTCTGTTTAGAATAGTTGCTATCCAAGAACTAAACTGCTATCTAGGCTGCTTATAGGTTCACCTGCCGGCTGCATTTGGTAAATCTGAAATATTGTAAGGTCAACAATGGCAGCCTACATCATTTTTTTATTACAGGTATACTTTTTAGTCAGGGAAATCAAGTTCAGGTAAAATAAATAAATAGTGAAGCACAAATAAGGATTTTCTCAACAGCACCTTGCGCTGTGCTCTTAGATGGGACTTCTACTTATGAAAATGAAAAGTTTGCTATACAGTAATTTTCTTTGCTCCCCAGGTAGATCGTTTCTGATTACACTAAATGCAGAAGCAGAAGGAGCCATTCAACAATCCTGGTATATAATGCAAAAATAAAAAAAAATAAAAAACTATTAGAAATGCAAAAATAATAAGCAGCTGCAACTTACCATCAGCAGGCTGCTGGAAATTGATATAAGCATAGCCAAGGGATCGACGAGTGGAAATGTCCCGACAAACTCTGATGGACATTATTGGGCCTGCTGGTGAAAACTTTTCGTACAGCATTGCTTCTGTAACATCTGGATGTAGGTCCCCTACGTATAAGGAGGCCAGCGGATATCCTGCCCCGGTTGCATTCATGGCAGTCTAAAAAGGATAATAGAACAAAAAGAGAAAAGTATACATATTTCCACTTATGACCTCCAAGAATTAAAAGCAACGACATCAATCCTTGTGACAAGATCTGGTCGGGCAGAAGAGACCATAGAACTTTAGCTACCTGGAGAACTAGGTCAGAGTACCAGGCTTATCCTGTCCAGTCTGGAACGATCAGAATGGGGGGAATTCCACCTTGATCCTCCAAAGCAAGCATACAAGAGGTTTCAAGAGAGAACACATATAGAGAATACAACATCCATATGGAGACCAGAGCATCCACTGTGTCTGTCAGTGGGTGCCTAGATCTGGCTACAAACCTGAAACCCTTCGATTATGCCAGGATGCTATCTGATTCATTTCTAGTAGCCCCTTCAGACACAGGGCTAAAAGGTAAAATTATTCCGCTGGGTTAATACGCTGCTGACTCAGAAGGTCTGCCTGCAAGTTTTCCACTCCAGGTATATAAACCTGGAGTGATGTTCAAACCTACTAACCACCTATGGCAACTCCACAGTGACTTTCTGCGAACTGGGATGAGATTGATGTGGGACGTTTCGTCATCTGGAACTCCGGTATAACATATGCAGAACAGATCTGAACTTAGGGGTCCAATATTAGCAATGAGCATGTGATTTAGGGGTTCAATGTTACAGGGGAAACTTTAAAAAAAAAAAAACTACTGGGTTAATGCTAGTAACAGACTGCACCATATGTCATTTTTTTATTTTATTTGCCCTATATTTGCCCTCTGTTTTTCTAACTGTTCATCTTTAGAATCAAGGGTGAGAGGTCACCTAAAGCTTGAAGTCTTCTTAGTCTAACTTTATTATGAAGTCTTTATTTGTCTAACTTTAGAGTAAGGGGTGAGAGGTCACCTAAAGCCACACAGTTCCTTTCATATCAAAAGCCTGACCTCAACAAACTCTAAGGGGCCCACTTAGACATCGTTATACGCTCTCGGTTTTACGTTGCAGGGCATACTGCAGCTTGCATTTTACAGCCAATTCATAAAATGAGGGATGTGGTATGCCTCAGGCTGTTCTATGAAGTTCTCCATTTACTGTTAGGCCTGGTTCCCACCTGGGTGTTTTGTAGCGCATTCCTACGCTCTGCAAAACGCTCAAACACCGAAATCCCATTATTTCCTATGGGTATGGTTCACACCTGGGCGTATTACAGGCCGTATGAACGCGATACAAAACGCGGTACAGGAGCTTCTTCGGGGCGTTTTTGTCACGTGTTTCCATTGGGACACCGCCAAGTAGCCCTCGGAAACGCATGTTTGTCGCGCGTTTTTTTACCGCAAATCGCATGACATGAAACGCTCGACAAACGAGCATATTCGATACGCCTAGGTGTGAACCCAGCCTTATTGCACTCTCCCTAGGAGGAGCGGTGATTTCACACTGTCATGTGACAGTTCTCGGGCCTAGTGCTTAGCTGCTAGACGCAAGCACCGTGACTTGGGAAGCACCAGGTTTTGTCACTGTCTGTGACTGGAGTAGTAGAGTATGAGCACTAGGGAGGCAGGTCACATGATCATTTAGGTCAGCGTGCTTTGCAAAGATAATGATCGGGCAATGTGTGGCAAGTGATCTTTAGACAAAACTTTTATTTTCTAGCTACAGATAGAGTGTTCATGTCCCCTCTGGGGAGTTCCGACCCTCTCTTTGTACTGGTGGAGAAATCCAACATTTTAGAGGTGAGGAGGAAATCTTCCAATGGGGACACCTGTTCTGGGTAAACCTGTTCTGTGGAAACTAACAGGAGAAATCTCATTACTTTGGGAGATTTCCTTTAACTTCCTGTTTCTTCCCTAAGGCTCCCAAACTGTACACTCCATTCAGGATCCTGCACATCAGCACAATGTACTGCACTGCCGTGACTTGCATTACCATCTGGTGCACTGTGGAAAATGCAGCATGTCAGCTAGGGATGCACCGAAATTTTGGCCAAAGATGGTATGATGGGCAAAATTCTGACCATAAAAAAAAAAGGTCAGAAAATGCAGTACATCCCCAGCTTCTCTCCTCCCCGCTAGGTGCTGGCTACAAGCTGCGGTCTGTGCCCCATCCGATCCCTGCTGCTCTCCCCCGCATGCTGAGCCAAAGGCAGCGGGGCTTGGATAGGACATAGAGCTGATCCAGCTACCAGTGCCCACCAGGGAGGAGGAGAGCTGCGGGAGGGGAAGAACAGTTCAGGATGGAGTGCGGGGAGGATCAGCAAATATGTGAAATCTCTGCTGATCCTTCCATGTATTGCTCAAACATCGGTGTGATCAGTTCTAATCACACTGATGTTTGTAAATAACTGAGGACATATTATTTACTTTCCCTTATGAAATAGAAAATGTGCGTTTCACCAGACTCTGAGCTGACAATGTTGTGCCTACATGTTCTTTTGTTTTTTTATTAATTGGATTTCTTATGTTGTTTTTTCTGTGTGGATTATTTGTTATATTGTTTCTTATACACTGTACACAGTTTATTCATTGCATCTGTTAGAGCGCTACGCTATTGATTTGTTTTTTTGCATTCTTCTACAGCTGAAAGATGCAGCTCTCTGCGCAAATGAGCAATTGAAGTGGAACTTAGTGGGAAAGCAAAATATTGATGGTAGGAGACTCAGAGAGGAATTAATCAAAACTGGAGCAGACACCAAATCTAGAGCAGCTGTGCATGACAACCAATTCACTTCTTTTTCATTTCCAAATCTTAACTGGAGAGAAACTGATTGGTTGCCATGTGCAACTGCTCCAGCTTTGATAAATTCCTCCCTCTATGTCTCTCCTGCAATTAAAGCTTCTTAGGCCTCACTCACTCCTGCGTTTAGATCGGGTTAGCCAATCAAGAAAGGCCGGGTGGAGATACCTGCGGCATAGAGGGAACTTGTTGATATGTAGGGATTTGGTCCGATCGCAGTTTTCCTGAGTTCGCCCAGGCCTGTGTAAAATGGTTATTAACACCTCTCTCTCCGCCTAATCAGTTTTGGCAGGGGGATTTACCGCCCTGCAGCTACACATCACAAAAAAGGCCAGGGAATGCCCTTGCCACAACCAATTGGGCCAAAAGGGAAAATGTTAATGACAGTTTTACACAGGCTTGGGCAAACGTAGGAGAACTGGTGTCAAACCAAGCCCCAGCTCATCACTATTAAGGGGCTTTTGACAGCTAGGCACTCTCAGTAGCAGGTAAACAGCGTACAAGGTCAGATGTCAAGTGACCTCTGACTCAAAGTGAAGTATCAGGCTCAGAGACAGTAGTTACAATGGGAAATAAAGATTTGTTTCCCATGTTGTCCAATTATCACAGGTGAAGTAGAGGGTGGGTACAAAGACTTTCCACAGCAGTGTAGCCACTGGCCAAAAACTCCAACTCCACTGTGGCCTACAGATGTAAGGACTGATCTCCATTGGGCTGGGTGCACAATGCTGGGATTAACAGACAAGAGGACTGGTATCCATTAATCTGCGTGCACACTGCTGGGCTCTATAGACGTGTTGACTGGTCTCCATTGGGCTGGGTGCACACTGCTGGGGTCTGCAGATATGAGGACTGGTCTCCATTGGTCTGGGTGCATACTACTGGATTCTACAGATATGATGACTGGTCTTCATTGGCCTGGTGCGTACTACTGGGGTCTACAGACAGGAAGACTGGTCTCCATTGGTCTGGGTGCATACTGCTGGGGTCTGCAGACATGAGGACTGGTATCCATTGGTCTGGGTGCATACTGCTGGGGTCTGCGGATATGAGGACTGGTCTCCATTGGTCTGGGTGCATACTGCTGGGGTCTACAGATATGAGGACTGGTCTCCATGGGGCTGGGTGCACACTGCTGGGATCTACAGACATGAGGACTGGTCTTAATTGGTCTGGGTGCATACTTCTGGGATCTACAGATATGGGGACGTGTCTCCATTGGTCTGGGTGCATACTGCTGGGGTGCACAGACAGAAAGACTGGTATCCATTGGGCTGGATGCACAGTGCTGTGGTCTACAGAGGAGGAACTGGTCTACATTGGTCTGGGTGCACACTGCTGGTATCTACAGACATGAGGACTGGTCTTAATTGGTCTGGGTGCATACTGCTGGGATCTACACATATGAGGACTGGTCTCCATTGGTCTGGGTGCATACTGCTGGGGTGCACAGACATGGGGACTGGTCTCCATTAGTCTGGGTGCATACTACTAGAGTCTACAGACAGGAAGACTGGTCTCCATGGGGCTGGGTGCACACTGCTGGGATCTACAGACATGAGGACTGGTCTCCATGGGGCTGGGTGCACACTGCTGGGATCTACAGACATGAGGACGGGTCTCCATTGGTCTGGGAGCATACTTCTGGGATCTACAGATATAAGGACTGCTCTCCATTGGTCTGGGTGCATACTGCTGGGGTGCACAGACAGAAAGACTGGTATCCATTGGGCTGGATGCACAGTGCTGTGGTCTACGGAGGAGGAACTGGTCTACATTGGTCTGGGTGCACACTGCTGGGATCTACAGACCTGAGGACTGGTCTTAATTGGTCTGGGTGCATACTGCTGGGATCTACACATATGAGGACTGGTCTCCATTGGCCTGGGCGCATACTACTGGGGTCTACAGACAGGAAGACTGGTCTCCATTGGCCTGGGCGCATACTACTGGGGTCTACAGACAGGAAGACTGGTCTCCATTGGCCTGGGCGCATACTACTGGGGTCTACAGACAGGAAGACTGGTCTCCATTGGCCTGGGCGCATACTACTGGGGTCTACAGACAGGAAGACTGGTCTCCATTGGCCTGGGCGCATACTACTGGGGTCTACAGACAGGAAGACTGGTCTCCATTGGCCTGGGCGCATACTACTGGGGTCTACAGACAGGAAGACTGGTCTCCATTGGCCTGGGCGCATACTACTGGGGTCTACAGACAGGAAGACTGGTCTCCATTGGCCTGGGCGCATACTACTGGGGTCTACAGACAGGAAGACTG